GCTAGTCTACTCTGTAGCGGGTATTTATCCATTATTTTACGTTTTAGTCATAGTATGCCAAACAAGTATTGGTGGCTAATACTTTGTCCGGCTACCTAGCTAATGAATATACATACTTGTCTAGCATAATACGCAACACTTTACCTGTTTATTAGCGTCAATGAGTTCGTGAACAGCTAAGAGAGTCATACATTTGGCTTCCAGTAACGAGACTAAGGCGTTTAAAGCCGTCGCTCGAGCCTTCTTACTGTTGCCGGGGCCAGGGACGCGATCGACATTACTGGTAATCGGCAATTTTATCTGTGTAGTAAAACCTTTTCTATCGGCTACCATAGGAAACTTTAAAAAAATTAGGCTAGGTATTAAAACTAAAGTTAGAATCAAACACATTTTTTTAAACATTCCTGCTCCGATTTAGAGGGTGCTTCCATTGGTGTAAAATAACTCCAGGATTGCCTGTGATTAGATAAAAGTTTGGATGACCGTTTTTGTACATTTACGTAGACATGTACAGGTTGGAGTGTATAAATAGAGGATGGCATATTCCTGCGTCATGTTATAAATAGCGTAATAAAGGACACTTTTGCGCCCTGTTATCACAAAAAAGTACTATTACAGACGTAATTAAATCCCCAATAATAACTGAGGGTATCCCGATGACCGTTTGCTTACAAATTTAGGAAATACTGACCTCTATCTTCTTATTTGTGAATAGGAATACGAAAATGATGGAATACTGTTAATTAGGGATAATTAACCATTGATTTGATCCATTATGTCAATGTCGAATGAAGAAAGATAACAGTGACATCTGCTGTTTGATTTCCCACAAAAAGAGGTGGCAAACATTCAGATCCGTCCGCCTTGCATGTAAATGCAATAGTAAAGCGTTTTCTTAGCCAGCCAGTCCACCCAATTTGAGTCTAACTCGGGAAAGCGGACCGAACGGTGCGACTTTGTAGTGAGAGCTTCCAATGGTATGGCTTCGAAAACGGTATTTGTACTTTAGGATGTTCCTAATCGTTGACCGCTGTAGCTAAAACATTTTTTGAGCCCACAACCCAAGCTAGACCTAGCTCAATGATGGATTCTCGGCTTTGTGGCGGCAGATCTATCGCCGCTGCTCATTCGATAGCCTGTTTCGCGACGTGGGTGGGGCCTTAGTAGGCGAAGGTGTTCGCGGTATTGCAGTGCTGGGCGGGAAATAGATAAATGCCATGGCAAGCCGGCAAAAATCGAGCTACTTTGCGGGCCATATTGTGTCGTGTGTACCCTATATTCGGTACAGCTCTATATAGTGGTACCTTTATATAATAATATGACGTGGTTTCCCGACGCTTCCATACAGAGAGGATGGTTTTGCAGTACTGGATGTAGTATTATCCATGTTTTGTCGTGGTAAACACCCCTGTATTATGCGAAATCTTATCTCAAATCGCGTTCTCAAACACTATGTTTTTGCAGGCAGCGCCAGTTGAAACAGCTCATTCTCTCTTTGTCTGAGTCAAGATGAAGCGAGTTCTCGCCTCGAGACTTTCCGCAGCATTATTATTAATAACGTGCGCCACTGCAACCATCGATCATGACAAAGTCCAACCCTTTCCCCAGCCCGAGCCGGTAACGATATCTGAAAAAGCAGCCATCAAGTTCAAGCCGCAGCTCCCGAGGACGCGTGCGTGTCCTATCCTGCTGTAAATTCTGCGGGTGACACCACCGGGGGCTCAAGGGATCGAATGGTAACGACGGCTGCAAGTATGCCCCTAAGTATGCCCATCAAGGCTCTCAAATCTACAGTCGAGCTGGGTGATATAAGGATATATGGGCCATCATGTACGCTTGGTATTTTCCTAAAGGGTTTTGGGTGTTTTCTCCTACGAGGCGCCATGATTGGAAAAACGTCGTTGTGTGGAATGATAACCCCGACTTAGAGGCACCTAAAATTCTAGGGGTCTCTATGTCGAAGTCTGACACCGCGTACATGAAGGAAATTAAAACGTGGCCATCCAACTTCGCTGGGTTCCGAACGGAGGGGCGGAGGTACAACCGCACGTATATCTATGGATCCAACACGTCTTTCAGATTTGAATACCATATTGACTTTGGCTCTTCGTATCTAATGTTCGCTGTTCGGGATGGCGAGTATCAGGACTTGATCATGTGGGAACAACTCACGGACGCGGCTCGAGGTGCTTTAAGCGACAGCAACAACTTTGGGAAATCGGAGGTTCCGTTCAGTGATGACCACTACGAAACCCACCTAAAACAAGGCATGGCCGCTCTAGCTCTGATATTCTCGTGAGGTAGCGTGTAAACGTTTCTTGGTTTGAAAGTCTGGCGCAGACGAGCCTTGAATAACTCAATTCTTCCATTTTCGACTCAAATATCGAGTTATCGGATAGGGTTTCGCGTAGGCTGAGATAGCCGTTTTAGCAGCACTTGACTTTACTAGATACTCGACAACAGCGCAAGTTAAGAAACTTACATTCGCTAATTATTTCCAGTGCTTTTTTTTGTGCTTCGGTAAAATGCTTCTTTTTTTCTTCACATTGAATTGCCGCACTTGGTCGACACGTCACTATATTACAATTTATTAATACCAATCCAAATATATACAGGAATCTCCAGATTCATCTAGACCTGTCAAAGCATCACCTGCGACGGCTTCGCAGCCGTGCACCCGCATTGTCTACATCTGATAAATAAGTACTATTATAAGTTTTCATTTTACAGCCTTGTAGGCGTATTGATGATAGTAGTCCACACACAAAGTCGCAGAAAAAAATACGTGACATTGCGCCCTGAACCAAACTGCAGAATTATTTTTTTGTCAATTAGTTGACAACAAGATATTATCCGTTTTTAACCGAGGGTCGTTTCCTTTATTGTGGTGGCCTAATTAATGGCGTAAAAATCACTTTTTATGATCAATTTGGAGGCTCTAATAACCCTTTATTAGGGGATAAGAAACTGCTATCGCTTATAAATCTCGTAAAAAGTGGCGGTCGTAAGAAGTTAGTGCCGTCAAGGCTCGATGGCCGAGCTGGAGGCCCAGTGCCATCGACGCCAAGAATTAACAAGGTTTACAGGCTTCAGGTCGTGCGGAACTGGCTTCTCTTCGGCCAGCGACAAATTGACCGGCTCCGCAGCCAGCACGCAGGCGGGCTGCGAGCACCAGACTCGCACACGGAGCAGACACATTCAGTGCCGCTATGCCGCGTATCAATCGGTTCATGGACACAGTCACCATCACTTCTTATATCCTCTTTGTGGGTTCGATGGATGGCGTTTGTGGCCTGAATCGTTTGTTGTATTATTTTAAGTAAAGCTGCGTCTGCGAGAACGTTTGACGTACTGGAATTTACTGTGGGGGTGGGAAATCGTAGTTCAGTTGTCTGACTGTCTATTTATGAGCAATAGAAGGAAGTGTGTTGATTAGCATTAATGTACTAGATGCTTCGACAGTATGCAGTGGTTTATTTGGTAATGAGTAGGCTTCCGTCGTTCATAACATGAGCTAGTCGTTGGAATCACTTGGGATAGCTAGTGCTGCAGTGGCAATGACGTGACTTTATCAAATTGCTAATAAGAACCACGCCCATCGTTGGTCGTATTTCCGGAACGGTGACGCTTCATCGAATTTATGGAAAAATATGCTGGCGTAGCGACCTGCCTTGAAGAAGGTTGCCATTTTTTAGTACTAATAAGTTATAAAGTCGCAGCCTTCGTGTGTTGCACAAGTAAAAATTCGTTGCCTCACTTTCCAATTTGCTCGAAGGCGCTACAGCAACGTCCAACAGGACGCGCGGACTCACAGACTACAGTGCGGAGGCCCTACTGGCCGAGGTGGATGAAGAACTGCGCGAACAACAAACGGAGGAAGAGATCAGCCTATTCATCTCGGTGAGTTCTTGATCCGCTCTAACCGTGAGCGGCTTACCGTCACTGCGTGAGCCCTGGCAACGACTATTGCTCACCATTTTTCGAGCTCGGAAGTAAATGTGATTTCTAGGGGACGTCGGGCCGAAACTATGTGTACCACACAGTTTAAAGTCGTCGGTCCCAGCGAACGTGATGCTTTTACTAGTATTAATACTTCGCGATCTGTTCAAACTCATACAGAAGCCAAGAGACCAGTATTAGAATTTTCCCTTCATTTAAGACACATTCTCCGACTTATCGTATTCCTTTTGTGATTACCGACGTTCACTCATTTATGAAAATACATAGAGCCAACCAGGACACTCAAAATTCTGTACAGTTGTAGTTTATGTGGTCGTGTGCTAGCCGGTTTACCGGTTAATGAGTCGACGTTTGCTGTGTTGTCGCGTCATTTTAGTAAAAGAGACATAAAAAGCGGCAAATTGGTCATGAAGAAAATATTTCCGGAAATGACCAGCGATGAACTTTTCGGTGGAATACTACTACTGTGAAAACTACTACTGTGTCTCGTTTCGCTTGTGTGTCACGCTAGTTTCTTACTGGACCAATTACCTGGCTGATGTCAACCTACATCTTCCAGAACTCAATTGCTCTACAAGATCTCCAATCAAATCTCGAAGATGGCAAAACAAAATGGATGCAGCCAACAGCAGTACCGCCGTACATTGAGCTGTACAAGAAAATCGACAAACAACAGGGGTCAATTGATACCCTTCCCACTACACTTAAGGAGAGATTGGAGCAGGTGCTCGAGAGGAAAGGCGTTCTCGTTTGAAATATAACCCGCCAAAAGCTACGCGACGAGATACAATCTTTGTTAAAAGAGGTTGCTCTTCACAGCACTACTACATACACAGAAGCATCGTTACAACCTTCTGCTCCACAGCAAAATTATCACATTTGGGGAGGAAAATTTAATTTGCTGCCAAACGACTTTGCGTTTCCGAGCATCGACCCACCCAGTGTGTAAATACTGTGGTGGTTCGGCGATCAAAGGCGTGACTACCCTCCTTACAGTGGCATATCATCCGACGATCTAGACGCTGTCATAGTGGTCTATAATGATGCGCCATATTGCTATCGGAGTTGAAGAAAAACTCCACGTACCGATGCCAACTATCCGCGATGAATCTCACGCGATTGAGCTGTTCAGCACGGGGTACGAGTTGCTAAAGTTAAAGCCACGCAAGTATAAACGTAGGGTAGATCAACTGAAGCTTACCACCGTGCTGCGACTGGTCCGTGAAGGCGAGGTTCCGCGCGGTCGCGTGCTTCCCTATAAGCCACGGAAGCATACAAAGAAAGTAGCTGGCCATTTACAAACCTAACGGACCTTAGTTACATGAAGTGTGACACGTCATACTTCCGGATATTTGGTTCAAGGTACCAAGGTCATCCAAAGCCAATCATTGGCTGATGACATTGCTTTTCTATAGGTGACTTATAGTTTGTATTTAGCTCAAGCTTTACCTACTTATAAATGTACCCAGTTTACAATCTACCTTAATTAGGTCACTTCGCTCCCTTTTCGATAAAAGGGGACCTGTGAACTGCCGTTCACTGAGAGTTTGTATACTCTCGGAAGCGACTTTCCTCTAGCGCAAGGTGCTGTGTGACGCCGTCACACTTGGTAGCACTTGTAGTCAATCCACGCCACCGCGGGTACACTACCTGAACCTCTCCGAAGCTCGTTGCCATGGATAGGAGCGACTTCTCCCATATGAACGACTCACAGGTCGAGTCGGTTCGGAAGATGGCAGGCATCTTCGGGATGGAGGCCCTGCAGAGCCTAGTGGTGTCAACACCGGCTGAGCAGCTCAAGCGCGTCAATGCGTTCGACGCGTACGAGCAGGGCCTCATCGTGCATGTGCGGGAGAACCTGCAGGCTTCGGCGGCGGAAGCAAATCCGCCTCACCCGAAGCCAATACGGCTGAAGGTTAAGCCGTATGAAGGGAAGGACGGCTAGAACCTTCACGTCTAGGTTCGAGAAGTAGAGCTCGCGATGGACGCGGCTCTGATCTCGACCGAGCAACTCCGTGATGCTTTTGCACTCTCCAACGTTAGCGGTCGTGCTACGAGTTGAGTGTACACGCGGGTGGCAACATCCCCTGGATGCTGCACATCCTGGGCTCAGCTGTGCGAGCAGCTCCGAGAGCGTTCCTCCAGGCGAACTACGAGTACCGCCAGTGCTCGCGCTTCCTCTCGTACAAACAAGGACGACGTGAGCTGCATGAGTACGTCCAAGAGATTCGGGATCTCACGGCGTCCCTGGTGGAAAACCCACTCAACGAACACATCAAGATGACCGTGTTCGTGGACGGGCTTCGAGTGGGCCCAGCGCGCACGCAGCTGATCCGGGTGCAGTCAAGCACCCTTGAAGAGGCGATTTAAGTGGTTCTTCAGGAAGAATACAGCCATCTCCAGGCACGTACGCCGGCCTCAGCATGGCCTGGGAGTTCATTATCGGCTCACGGTCGAGCGAGCCCCAACGGACCAGTTCCCATGGAACTCGGGTCCGCCGAGCAGCGCGACATCCGCTGCTTCGGCTGCGGGAAGATGGGTCACTTCAAGCGCGACTGTCCCGCTGAAAGACTCCGCAGACGGTCCTTCCCCAAGCCCGTCCTCAAGGGTCGCTGGCAGAAGCCAGGATCCCGCGGACAGGGGGACGCTGAGAACCAGTAGGGGCGAGGCGCCCTACTGGGGAGGAACTAAGTCTTCGTGATGGGTGGCGCGTACCACGGGGACTTAGCCCCTGAGAGTCTTCGCACTCTCGAATTGGCGAAGAGCAGCGGCGGGTTGCTCGTAGTACACGGATGTGTACGGGGATACGATCATCCCTTTAGAATCTGGATCGATTCTGGCGCGTCGAAGAATTTCGCACGCCGCCAGACGGTAGCTCGTAATAGCAACAAGCTGTCCGATGCTTTGAGATAAAGCAAGGGCAACGGGACGGTGTCGGTGCAACTGACCGACGGGAAGGTCGTCACTGTCCCCAACGTCCAAGTGGATCTGGCCGTCAAGTTTGAGGACTTTGACTGCCTCGAACAGTTCACTGTTCTCGACATGGATCCATACGATATGATCCTGGGCATGTCCTGGCTTGAGAAGCACGGGCCCTGTATCGACTGGCGAGACAAGGCAATTGGTACCAGCCGCCCAGCGAAGTCCGACAGAGCATTGGTGAGTCATGTTCCCACCTCTGTCAGGACCCGGGGCGCCCACAAGGGTTGCCAGGGTACCAAGGCATCTGGCAGACGCTTGAGAGTTTGACGACTCCGAGGATGCTTTGATGGTGGCAGCGCCCAGAGGAGGCGCTGGCCAAGTGTATAACGTAGGTTCACAAGCGGGTAACATAGTTCCGCAGACAGTTGCAGCTGTCACGAACGCTTGCAATAGCGTGTTCAAGGTGGGTAACCGAGCTCCACACACGGTCGCCCAGACCTTAATTGAAGAGGAATGGGTCGGACACGCTTCCTGTGTGGGAAACACAGTACCACACGAGGCCTCGAGTGCCTCGGATGTCGGCGATCCGACATCCCCAGACGTGGGCAGCAAAGCCCGACGTCACGGTCGCCGTCGACAGCGACGCTGCCGCCGCCTCAAGTCGGATCCGAACTTCGCTCCGATCGACGTCGCTTCAAGCGACTCGAAGTCCAGGGCCCGGGCTCCTCCGACAAGGCCGGTGAAAGAGTGCTATCACAGCTTCGATGGCGAGACCGGTTTACCCGTCAAGGCATCTGGTGTCCACTTGGAACCGTTGCCAGAGGTTGCAGAGATGCTGAACCTCGAGGAAATGACGGTCGAGTCTTTCCTGACCAACCTCATAGCTGGAACGGTTGCCGAGATGGTACTCATGAGACCTGAGACCACTCGGGAGAGTGGAGTGCTCCTCTGTTTTGGGAGCGTCCTCTCTTTTTTTTTTGGGGGGAGAGAGAGAACTTCCCGAGAAGAACTAGAACAAGCAGCGTCAGGCGCGCTTGGGTTCTGCAGATTCTAAAGAAACCCAAGGATCCGGTGTATCCTTTGGTGAAGGAGTATGCGGACGTGGTGAACAAACACTCACCGACCCAACTCCCACCGGATCGAGGCGTACGGCACGAGATTGATCTCGTGCCCGGCACAAAGTATTGTGTCACGAGGCAATGGCCTCTCCCGCGCGAACAGTGCGAGGTCATTAATGCCTTCTTTGCCGCGAAAGCGAAGACAGGCATGGTGCGGGAGTCGAAATCCCCGCACTCGACGCCGACTTTCTGCGTTCGGAAGCCGAACGGAAAGTGGCGTCTAGCTCATGCTTATAACAAGCTGAACAACGCGACGGTGCCGGCCCAAACACCAGTCCCACGAAAGGATGTGTTGCTGAACAACATGACCGAAAGCATACTGTGTAGTGCGCTAGATTTGGTAGACGGATACCACCAGATCCTGATGCGAGGAAGTGACATCCCGCTCACCGCGGTGAGCACTTCAAGCGGCATGCTTTGGGAGTGGCTCGGCATGCCGCAGGGTTTGTCTAGCGCCCCGGCGACAATTAATCGCCTGGTGACGCAGCTGTTTAGGCCACTGCGCGCCTTCGTACAGAGGTACTTCGACGACATCTTCGTCCATAGCCGTGCCGAGCGAGGCGAGACGGCCATGGAAGTGCATCTGGGGCACCTCCGTCGAGTATTGGATGTGATGCGAGCAAACAAGCTCTACGTCAACATCGACAAGCTCGTCTTCGCGTCACCAGAGATTAAAGTTCTCGGTTGCTTCGTCAGCAACGTGGGCGTTTGAGCTGACCCAGACAAGGTCAAGACCATAGCAGCATGGTCAGCGCCCCGATCCCAGAAGGATCTTCGAAAGTGGTTGGGCTTGGCCAAGTACCTTCACACGTACAGCGCAGGGTACGCGGGCTTCGCTAAGCCCTTGTCGGGCCTCCTTAAGAAGGACGTCGACTGGCGCTGGGAGCAAGATCACCAGGACGCTTTTGACAGCATCAAGGCCAGCCTCCAAGAGGCCCTGTCCTGACCCTTCCAGACGGGACGAAGTCGTTCAGCGTCGTCTGGGATGCCTCCGAATACGCCATCGGGTGTGCATTGCTGCAAGCCGACACGGCTGTACATGAACGAGTCAGTCCAGGCAGATCAAAGCCGCCGAACGGAACAATCCTGTCCACGACAAGGAGCTCCTGGCAATGAAGTATGCCCTAGTGAAGTTTTGGTGGTTCACCTTCTGGGCTCCCGGCCCTTCGTGATCTACACAGACCACACATCCTTGAGGACGGCGACAAATTCGCCTCACCTCTCCCAACGGATGGCGAGGCGGCTATGCTTCTTCGCGGAGTACAATTTCCGCGTCGAGTACAAGCGGGGCAAGCGCATCGTGCTTGCGGACGCCCTCTCTCAGCGTCCGGCCTACGAGTTGGCCCACATCACACGAGTGACAACGGATCTATATGATCGGAAACACATGGCGTATTCGGGCGATGAGACGGTCGCACCTATCGTCAAGTCCCTCACGGCAGGAACGAGCGCGAAGTCCGACTGGCTTTCGTTGCGACAGCGCTCCCGGCTCCACCGATTTAAGCTGAATATTACCGGGTGGAGTCTAATGAACCTCCACGGGTGGTCGTGCCCAACGATGAGGATCTGAGGTTTGATGTCCTCGCGGAGGCGCACGACGCGCCCTCCAGCGGCCACTTGGGCCGCGAGAAGACCTTCCTGTCGGTCTCTCAGGCCTTCTGGTGGACCCACATTTACAAGTGGGTCACCCGATATGTAACGGGGTTACGTGGTGCGGAACACACAGGGTACGAAGTACCCGGAGAGCTAACAAACTCTCAGTACATAAGTTGGAGAGTTAACAAGGTCTCTCAGTACGTTGACCGAAAGCCACACGTTATGCATTTGATTAGGTTTAACTATGCTAGATAGTTAAACAGATACATTTACCCCTAGGCGGCTTGGCCGCAATAATAGTAAATAAAACACTTCTGGTTTTGAAGCATAAAAGTTAAGGTGTTAACTTTGAGACCTGGTCTTGGGCTGTAAGTGTCCTTTGGATAAGGAACTTAGTATTAGTGACTCTTTGAGTCGAACGTCTTCCTCTGACGCTAAAGCTACGGCAGCCCCGCTGCACGATACGTGAAGACATGTAAAACATGTCAGCGGGTCAAACCTGCAGGGCACTCTTCGGCTCCACTACAGAGCCTGCCCGTACCGGCTGATTGTTGGAAGTCGATGAGTCTTGACTTCACATTTGGGCTTCCCACCGACGGACACGGCAACACCGGATTTTTGGTTTTCGTGTGTCGGCTGGGCAAGATGGTACATCTTGCTCAGCCGACACACGTACCATCTTGCTCCGGTTCCCGTTACTGATACGGGCGAACAAACCGCAAGGTTGTTCGTCGATGGCGTGCACCGCTATCACGGCCTCCCGGAGACGATTGTCTCGTACCGAGACCCGCGGTTTACGGCTGCGGTTTGGGAAACGCTGTTTCCTATATTGGGAACCCGTCTGCAGATGTCCACTGCGGCCCATCCACAGACAGACGGCCAGACAGATCGCGTCAATCTAGTGCTCGACGACACTCTTCGCAGTGTGTGCGCAGAAGCACCACTTACGTGGTCGACGCATCTTTCAGCTGTTGGGTTTGCGCTCAACAACGCAGTGCACGCGTCTCTAGGCTCACGCCGTCCTACTTGAACGGCTTCTGTCACCCCAGAGTGCCTCTCACGCTTCGAGGAGACACTGATTCCTTTATTCTAAGTGGGGGAGAAGCTCGGAAAGCTCTTCCCCCCATGTCTCAGATGTGAGACCGCTTTCTCTGCCGAAACAAGTGTAATCCTTTGTGGATACCAAGCTGAGCGTGATCAGCAGGGTCAACGATACCGTGGCAGCGGCCCAGGACAGCCAGAAGGAGTCCTTCGACAAACATGGAACAGTAAAATAACTTGTATTTTTAAGTAAGGGTGAATAATGATATTGAACCCATGGAACCTATCGCTAGACACTGTAAGCTCTGTCGGCAGCAACAAGCTGATGCAGCGCTTCATTGAACCGCTCGCAGGCCTGGTCAGGCATGGTCCGCCGTACACCGTCGATCTGCCCACGTAAATGAAGACGCACCCGACGTTCTACGGTGGACGTCTTAAGCGGTATCATGATCCACAGGAAGTTGCCGACTCGCAGACCCACCTAGGCCTAGCTCCTTAAAGCGAGGGCCGGCCACAGACGTCGACGAAGGCGTTGGACCAGGCACCCAAGCCTCGGTCTGAACGGCAAAGCTGCGGTCCAGACCGTACGCAGGAGGGGCTCCGTATGAACGGACACCAGAGCCATACGCCAAGTACGTTGCGTACGCCGGGTACGCACCATTAGCTGCGTTTACTTCATCTACAGTGACTTTTTTGTTCAATACAGTAACCAGTTCTGTCAGGAGAACCTGTTGCAACTGGAACGCGTTGTGCAGCGCCGTCCAATTTGCCT